GCGAAGGCCAAGACTTCGGCCTCTCCAATAAAACCTAGTGGCTCTTTGCAGGCCCATAGCCTCAAAGACAAAAGATATTTTGGCTAGGCGAGCTTGTTCCTCCCGTCAGCGCACGAAGTATTCACGTCTGGCCATCATTAGCTTCAAAGACTTAAAAGTGAACGATTGGCTGGCTGTGACCCGCAGGACCCAGCAGGGAGACCAGTGCGGTCTCCACACCGTTGGGTAGCTGCAGGCAAGGCTCTTGTATAAGAAACAGCCCACGGACCCTGTCCTGGGCAGGCAGAATTCCGCAGAGAGGCTGTTGTTTCGCCTAAGCAGCACGGGCTGCCGAGACAGAAACCTACCTGACTAGTATGGTGTATTATATGAGACCATCCACTTAGCATAGCAACGTCTACGGATAACCCCTGTAGCTCTTCTTCTGGATTGCTTTCTGTTTCCAACCATGTTTTCTTATTTCCTACTAGTTTATTTGCTTGGGAGCGAGCGTGGTCGTGGAAAACCCATAACCGCTAAATTCATCTGGGTCCCCAAACGCGGAGCGGGCTGGCCTCGGTATTTATGTGAGCGGCTATATAAATGAGGATTCGGAGTTTGCTCTGTTGATTGGAGAGAGCTGGAGGAGGCGGTCTCTCTTCCAGAGCGCTAGTTGGGAGCGGCGCCTGCCTGTCATTGGTCACCAGAGCCAATGGGAAGGGGCTGCCCCGCGGCCGCAAAGAGTTTGTAGAGGCAGTTCGGAGGCGGTACGTTGCATTCCGGTACCGGACGCCGAGAGCGGTTTGTCTCCGTCTCTGGAGTTGTAGGCGAGAGGTGATCATGTCCGGTCGCGGAAAACAGGGCGGCAAAGTACGAGCAAAGGCCAAATCCCGCTCCTCCCGCGCGGGCCTGCAGTTCCCGGTGGGCCGAGTGCACAGACTGCTGCGCAAAGGGAACTACGCGGAGCGAGTGGGCGCCGGGGCGCCGGTGTATCTGGCGGCGGTGCTGGAGTACCTGACGGCGGAGATCCTGGAGCTGGCTGGCAATGCCGCGCGTGACAACAAGAAGACCAGGATAATTCCCCGCCACCTGCAGCTCGCCATCCGCAACGACGAAGAGTTAAACAAGCTGCTGGGCAAAGTGACCATCGCTCAGGGCGGCGTCCTGCCCAACATCCAGGCCGTGCTGCTGCCCAAGAAGACGGAGAGTCAGAAGGCGAAGAGCAAGTGACCCTGACGCCGCCCTCAGGGAGCTGGCTCCCCCCGCAAGGGCCCTTTTCATGGTCATCCCGCAATGGTTTTGAATGTGCTGGATGTCATGGAGGGCCGGTGACATCTAGCGGGGAGGTGGGCGGCGAGGGGCCCGGCGGGAGCCAATAAAGTTGGTGAAAATCGTTTGGTCTAGAGAGCTGTATAGTCGCGGGGACCTGCCGGATGACCCCAGGGGAGGGGGGCGATTGGGAAACCCCTGGAGCAGGTACTGGTGGGTGGGCTTGAGCCACTCTGGACTGCTTTGGTCCGCAGGTCACCCTCGAGGCGTTAAGGGAGGGTGGCTTGGAGGTGGGCAGGGTGGGAGCGCACCTCGCTCTCAGTAGGGCAAAGGGGAGGCAGAGTCGGTGCGGCGAGGCCTCCTCCGGAATTATTTTTACTTCCCCTTCCCAGAGGCTTCGCTCTCCTGCCAGTTTGTGGGCACTCAGGA